GTATAATTTTCATATTTTTAATATACAGGTATGTGTGAAATGTGAACATTATGTGATGGAATTTCTTTACTGATATAAACATGATCTATAAGTGTCCCACCTTCAGTAGTGTAATGCTGAACAAGTTGTTGAAAACCAAATTTTTGAAAACAATTTAGTGTAGACAAATGACCCTCCAAGATATTTTGGTTGAAATCCCCCATAATAACATAGTCTGAACCAGATTCTTGTAATTCAACTAATAATCTTTCTAACATTGGGAGAAATAAATCTAATCGATAAACGGGTGATCTATAGATAACAATTACGTTAATATTTTTATCCAAAATATTCAAAGCAATGTGTTCTATATTTAAAACTCCCAATTTTAAAATGTTGACATTTTTGTTTTGACAATCTGTAGTGTCATCATAGCTGCTGCTTCGAGGATGGTGGTGAAGACGGAAACCATTTAACTTTAGTTTTGCTGGAGTTATTGAATTATTTAGCCATGTTTCTGTTAAACAAATGATATCACCTTCTAGCATTTTCTTGTGTTTCTGTAAATCCTCTATATGAAAAGATAAACCCTGAACATTGTGTAAAATTATATTAGTATCAGTTGATATGGTCTCGTTTTCAGGTTTTAAAAAAGTATCAATTGCTCCTAATGCCGATTTAATTTTTTCATCACAATATATGTTTTTTTCCGTAAAATAAAAATATTTTATGAAGTGATATTACGCCTCTATCGAGACTTAGACCTTGTACTTTGAAAAACACGGGATGATTTGTGATGGAAACATATAACAACCAACCACCATCATTGATTGCAGAAGCGGAACATCGCGTATCTTCTTTACACAATTCATTACATTCTAGTGGATTTGAACTTTTTGTTTCTGATTGAAATCGTCCAGATGAAACTTTTGTATCATTTGTATACTTGTAAATACAATCTGAAATATAGTTTAAGAAATATCTAAAAATACAAAGTGCCTTTCAGACTTGTATAAGTCGTGTATTAAGATATACTAAAAAGGAAAGAAATTTGAAAAAAGGCCGTATAACACCTGTATTTTATGCAATTTGAAAGGGTGAACTTTCAATATTATTACATTTATAAAGGGATTGTAAAATTTCCAGTCAGAATATATCTGAGATGTTATTAGCAATTTTCAGTCAGTTTTTGATATATATGATGCCATATTCGGATAAGCTTTTCCGAGAATTGAATTTTATTTTTGTTTTGCTTTTGAAAAAACAAGTTTATTTGCACAAGGACAATGTAAAGTGTAAAATATCACCAAGTTTAATTCAAATTGAATTCTTGAAGAAAATGTAACTATCATATCTTCACAGAGCGGTTCTTGATATTTCCACTCTCTGTTTCATGTTATACCCTTTATTACACGTAATTGAAGTATCATCACATTGGTCGTCTTTGTTCAAATATGCATTTTAACTGCAGGATAAGTTGAGCAATCTGAAATTATCATTTTGATATTTATTGTGGACGTAATTACATTTCGTTTGAGCTTACAATATCGATGCTAAAGAATACAACACATTTTCTTTCAAATATGATAATATATCAGAAAATTTGTCTATTACCAAGATCTCGCCTTTATATTGATATCTGAGGCAGTTTGATTTTCCTTCAATTTTCACATTTATTTTGTACTTGTATTGATCTCCATATAAACAATATTGTTTCGCTAGCGAGGGATGGCATGCTCACACTTCAAGATCACCTAATACATATCTACAACCAGTTTGGTCAAATCAACGGGCAACTTATCTAGTGTTACATAGTTATTTAATTTCATTCTTCTATGTAGAAGTCGGGTTTTCATTTAGAAGGCGATAACTGAATTCCTCGGATTTGTTCGACATTAAAGGGATACACCGGTTTATTTTCAACGTGAATAATAACGCTAACTATGCGTGAAACTATATCTAAACCCTTTATATAGTTTCTAAAAATTTACCAGGCCACTGATGAATCGTTTCTTATTATAATTGATACGAGGCCGGTGTTTTCTCGTGAATGGTTGATCGCTATTTTTATTTTCTATCGCGTCCTTCGGTCAGAAATGTGTAGTTAACGCTGATTGGTTCAATTGATCCAATCAAAATTGAGTTCACATAATCGCTATTTTCC